ATCCCTTCCTGTGTTTTTTATTTGTTTGACGGATCAAAGGAAAGTCCAGAGCTTCTTCTGCTTTACAACAAAACATGTAATGAATTGTGTGCATTATGCAAAATGACGTATTTATTCAATAGAGCATAAAATAAAATTTTAAGTCACTAGAAGAGATCAATAAATGTTTAAAATATGAGGCATAAGGTGCGTATAGAGTTTATTTCCAAGGATGGATGGATGGATGAGTGTAGCAGACGTATCTATGAGGTTCTGAGCGTTTTCATCTTGAGATCATTATTAAAAATCAAGTTTAATTTTAAATCATAATATAAAACTAAACTTTTTAATTTACCTGTATAACTTCAGTCAAGGCGAGACTCTTGCTGACAAATAATAAAGAGGTGCCTAAAACCTTTTTTAAAGCTTTGCTGCCATCTTTATAATAGAAATGTGTGAATGTTACATTTCTGTTGTTGCCATGCACCAAAGGGACCATTTAGCATACATTAGTTTCCCTTAAAGTAAAAGGGCTTTAGTTAGCAATTCTCACGTCCCAGAACAAACAGCAAAACCGCTGACTGCTAACAAAGCAGTTTATCCCCAAGCATCAACATGGCAGTTACCATAATACCATTATATTCAGCTCCTACTTGGTTTTATAAGACAAAGTCCTGCAGAAGCATGGAGACTTTATTATTTCTATACTAGATATGACATTGCGGGTGGGTATGTGTTTATATAGGACAGGTGAATGATTGACGAGGAGCTTTGAGACGAGAGGCAAAGCACAGGAAATTAAAAGACTAGTGGAGGTTTCTAGAGATCAGTGCTGCGGTTTGGGTGCATCAGCAGGTGGCAGATATTATATTACTACTGAACCCTGGTCTGCAACCTTTAGAAGAAAATAAACCGCCTCTGTACAAATCTGTCAAACTTAGGACATTGTTTGTATTTATAAAGGTGCGGAAACATCTGGAGGTTAAGGAGAAGAAGGTGAATGTGGAGAAATATCTAGTTGGAAAAATAATTAGTGGGCAGGTTGTTGAAATGAACTAGATTTAAAAAAGCTTTTTAATGGCTGTTGATTATTTATCTACGGAAGCCCTGAAAGGCAAAGGAGAAAAAAAGAAATAAAATAAAGAAAGGCAATTTTTTTTCTGCTTTGTCTTGTAATACTTTATTTTGCCACTAGAGGCAGTGATTTAATCAGACAGACAGACTCATGGTTGTATTCTTCAATGGTATATCACTAGAAAAACGATCTAGAAATAAGTAAAAATATCTTAAATTAAGTGTATTTACCCTTAACTTGAGTAGATAAATGAGGTAGTTTGCCAATGGAATGAGTATTTTTACTCTTAAAAGAAGATAATTACATATTATGCACTTGAAATAAGACAATGAAATTGTGCTTTCTTATTTTTAGTGTAAATTGTCTCGTTCCATGGACAAAATGTGTCTTTTACCTCCTCAATCCAAGAGCAAATGCACTTATTTTAAGAAAAAATTACTTAAATAGATTTCGATTTTTTTCCAGTGTAGTCAGAGGCCTGGTTTTCAAGAATCAATGTCCCACATATATTTTTGCAAAGTAAAATAAATAAGGTACAAAAGCTGTGCATTCATTGGCCGTGGCATGTTGTTAACATATCAACCTTGTATTTTTATGAGCAATAGAGAATTGTTTGCAGGGATTATCCAGCTTATTTGTAGGACAACATCTTAACTGAGGCAGATAAAGAAGAAGTGAAAGCTAGACTGCTGGAGGACATAGGGACCCCTTTTTCATCATTCTGCTTCATTCTATCTCTATTCTCCCACTCTGCAGAATCTGTTAGTTCAATCTCTAACGTTCTGCTCTCTCTGCTTTTCCTCATAGTAGCTTCATCTGGTCTGTTCCTGTTTGGCTGTGACTCCATCCTGGAGAGAAATATCAGCTGTGCTGCTGCCATCAACACCTTTGTTTCTAGATGTTGGAGCTTGGCCTGTTTTCCAGTGTAGTCCTGTTTCTCTGACTGTGACTAACTGGATGTGCTCTCTTCATCCTCTGACATGGGAGCTGGCTCGGAGCTCGTCTGCCTGGCTGTGTGTTTCCTGGACGGGGCCGCCTGTGGAGCTGGTTGATAGTTGCCTTTTGTATCTATGCTTCTTTTTCTATCTCTGCTTCTGTCTCCTTGAACCCCAGTGGGCCTCAGCAGATGGCCGCTCACACTGAGCCTGGTTCTGCAGGAGGTTTCTTCCTGTTCAAAGGGAGTTTTTCCTCTCCACTGTCGCTACAAGCATGCTTAGTGTGAGGGATTGCTGAAGAGTCAATGAGTCGATGCAATCAGCTGGTTTTCCTTAGATAGAAAACTTTGAATCAATTTGACTGGATGATCTGGTTGAACTGTAAAGTGACCTGAGATGACAGGATGTGAATTGGAGCTATAGAAATAAACTGAATTGAATATATATATATATATATATATATATATATATATATATATATATATATATATATATATATATATATATATATATATATATATATATATATATATATATATATTCGAGTTCAGGCCCACCTGACCTGTTGTTGGACTTCAGTGCTCGTCATGGATTTTCCATAACGAACACCGTGTTGAAGCATAAGGGTGTCCATATGTGCTCTTGGCATCAGGACTCCCTAGGCCGTAGTTCGATGATGACTTTGTGGTTGTTTCATCTGACCTGCGTCCACATGTCTTAGACACTGAAGTGAAAAGAGGGGCGGAGCTCTCCACCCACCACTACCTGGTGGTGAGTTGGCTCGGATGGTGGGGGAGGACGCCGGTCAGACCTGGTAGGCCCAAACGTGTTGTGAGGGTTTGCTGGGAACGCCTGGCAGAGTCCCCCGTTAGAAGGAGCTTTAACTCCCACCTCCAGCAGAGCTTTGAACACGTTCAGAGGAAAGTGGGGGACATTGACTCTGAGTGGACCATGTTCCGTGCCTCTATTGTTGAGGCGGCTAGTCGGAGCTGTAAGGTTGTCGGTGCATGCAGCTACACCAGCAGGGAGGGAAGCTGCCAAGCTGAAGGAGGAGTCCCATCGGGCTTCATTGACCTGTGGGACTCTAGAAGCAGCTGCTATGTCCCGGCAGTCAAAGCTGCAGGTGGCTCAGCTGGTCACTGAGGCAAAGACTCAGGCGTGGGAAGAGTTCGGAGAGGCCATGGAGAGAGACTTCCATACGGCTTGGAAGTGATTCTGGTCCACGATCCGGTGTCTCAGGAGGGGGAAGCATTGCAGCACCACCATTTATAGTGGGGGGGGATTAGGGCTTTCACATCCTCTTTACTACAAGTCTGACCACAAGCCATCGCTCCTGCTACTGGCTGTTAACATCTACTGACAATAGTTGAATGTTAACCAACCTGTAGCTAATTATCCATCACAGAACATTAAATCTAAGATAAAGTTATAAACATCAACCCTCCATATCAGGCGCTATACAGAGAGCTCTAACTCTGACCTGAATCTGATGCTAGCTTTTCTAAAACCACCGCTGGGAATTTAACTGCAGCCTTGTTTTGTCTTGTTTTTTTTTTTTTTTCCAAATTTAATATTTAAAGTCAAATGTCTTACATAATTCAAAAAGTGTTTTAGGGCCAAACAGATGTTTCTAAAGGAAAATATAACTTCCTGCACTCACCTGCAATGCAGCGTGAAGCGCCACCCCTCTGATGGACAGAGAAGGTATTACAAAAACAAACACTTAGTAAAATGAGTTGGTGAAAAAACTTTTTTTTCCACTCTTAGTCTTAGAAATTTCAACCCGTATTTTTTTCTGATATAAAACAGATTCATCCTCTAAAGAATCCCATTCCTGCAGGGATCCGACTCAGGAACAGGATGTACTACAGAAACCGTTTTCAGCAACCAGGGTTGCTTCTAGGATTGTTTTTATTCCCCTGAATTTAAACTGCATTTACAGTTCAAAATAATGAAGGTGAAAATTAAACCTTAATCCCAGGGATCCTTAAATGAGTTTTAGGACAAGAGGCAGTGCTTGTGGTTGATGGCTCTATTTAATGTACTTTAAGCTTTATTAATCAAACATCTGTCCTTTCTGTCACATCAGTCTTTTCATAATGCAGTTTTGGGAAATGATGTGAACTCATACAGTCCATTTTCAAGTCAAGGGACTTTACGCTACAATCAGTCATTCGTTCACGCACTGATGGCGGTGCCTCAGCTGCTCACTGACGGCGGTGAGCAGCTGATGGACGGAGTTGGGGTTTGACCTTTCCTGCTTCATATGCAACCGTCGTCCCCATAATCATAATCCTGATATAATCAGGAGATTAAGAATAAATGAGAATAATCTGGTCCTCCAAGTTCTTTATTCTTTGTTCCCTCAATGTTCATTGATTTTTTTAACTCTGTTTTCTAAATGCTTTTTATTATTTTGCATCGTTGAAATATGAAAAGAAGAAATATTTTGAAAGCCTTTGTGTCGGGAGCGACTCTGTGACCTCAGGTTACGTGTTTCCAGCTCAGCTGTTCTGTAGACGAATCTGTGGGTGATTCTCTCTGAACTGATGTTGGATCAGCTCTTTTTCTTGAACCTCCATCAGTGACCAGGTTTCTGCAGGACATGGATGTGTGCAGTGCTGCTCTTGGACTGTGCATTGGAAAGTAACATCCTCAAGGTTTATAAGGACCAAGTGTTCCCAAGCAGAACAGTCATTAAAGCTGTCAGAGCTTTAATGCTGGATTTGATTCATATAAAAGGTAATTGTTGGACAAACTCTGCATACTGATGGACCATTTCCACTGTAAGCTTTAATCATCTGGTGATGCGCTATAAATAAAAGACTCCTATTTTTGTGATGGATGTCTTTGCATTTGTGTAAGATAAATTTTAATGTTAATTGTTTATTATTTAATGCCCAATAAAAGGTATAAATAATAAGTGAAAATAAAGGGCACTGAACTGACAAGGTGATTATCTCTGTTCTTGTGTTTGCTGACTGCTGCTCTTTTTTTCTTTTGCATTGCAGAGGAAAGGCTTCACTCCACTTAATCAAACCTTAAACCACGGCTGCATCGCTCCTCGCTCTTCTGCAGCTCAGGATGACGGACACCCCTCAGTGAACGGCGGCTCCGCCCCCTGAGAATTGATGTTTGAAAATAAGAGTGTTCATCTTTGCTTGAAAGGATGCTGACAGGACCTTTTTGTGGAGTGTTTTCCATCTACTGAGGATTATTTTCCAGACGTGGAAGGAGAAAATGAATGGCTGCTATCTTTACTCTGGATGGTTGGAGCTTCCTGGGTTTAAAAAAAACGGCTGTTAGCAAAGCAACCGTCATCTTCTCAAGTGTTGCTGCTTTTCTTGGTCTGTTTTCTTTGCGTATCCATGACATAAGTGAGAGACAGAATAAACAAATCTGTTTATTTATTACAAAGTGAAATAGAGCTGAGGCCATCATGTCTTGGTGGATGCAGCGATCAGAAACTTGGAGTGCTCTCTATCAGACTGCCAGGAGCAGAGGCAGAAGGATGGAACACGGACCTCTCAGGAGTTCCCTGGGCTGTTGGGTTTTCACGCTAACATGCTTCGGACTCCTGCTTCTTCTATGTCCGCTTGCTGTGTTGGCTGAGAAACTGGATGAGAACGACCCTGTGGTCACAACCGCCTATGGCAGGCTGCGCGGCATCAAGAAGGAGCTCAACAACGAGATCCTCGGACCCGTCTTACAGTTTCTGGGCGTCCCTTATGCCACCCCTCCCACCGGCGAGCGCCGCTTTCAGCCTCCAGAGCCGCCAGCGTCATGGTCGGACGTTCGCAATGCCACACACTTTGCCCCCGTGTGCCCCCAGAGCATTGTGGAAGGCCGCCTCCCGGATGTTATGCTGCCTGTTTGGTTCACTAACAGTATAGATGTGGTTTCCACTTACGTTCAGGACCAGAGCGAGGACTGCCTTTATCTCAACATCTACGTCCCCACAGAGGATGGTGAGTAGGCCTGCAGGGCCGCGCTTCAGGCCACAGGAAGAATTAAGAGAAATGTCTGTTGTGTTGTCAGGGAGTGTTTGGTGTGAGAGTGCATCTCCGTCTCCGTCCTCCAGTAGATCAAAATGCATGACCTTGTGCATGTTTAATGTGCATGACTATGTTTCTCCAAAGGGAGAATGTGGAAGTGGTTTGTAGGAGAGAAAGCGATGTGAACATGTGTCTCCAAACCTCCATCCAGTCTCCACACCCTCCTCCATCCTCTCTGACCTTTAGGGTCCTCCTAGGGTCTCCTGAGTCCTCCTATAATCGTCTCCTCTCCCATTGCTTGGTCCTCTGTCTCCTCATTGTCTAAGTTAACCCCCCCCCCCATGTCTGTACCTCATCATAACGTATTGTGCTCTGCCACAAAGGCCACAGTTCATTAAACAAGACAGTGGTTGTCATGATCATCACCGATTGATTTTGCTGACTGAATGACTGGCTGGCTGACTGATAGACTGAATACTGCTCTGATTGAGCTGGCGGGATTCATTCTCTTCCTCCCTTCTTTGTTTCTCCTTCCTCCAAGTCTCTCTCAGTCAATCAGCTCCGTGTGCAGGATGTGTGTGTGTGTGTGTGTGTGCATGCCGGCTCCTGTGTACTTTGCGCGTCCAGGGGCTCCATGTTATTCTTTAGTTTTCTATTCATTTTACAGTCAAAAGAATATCCAAGGAATGTGCCAGGAAACCGGGCAAGAAAATATGTAAACAAGGAGGTATGTATAATCTAAATGTAACTTTACTGTGCCACCGAAGGAAGCAGGAAAACTGTGGGAGACCAGGGAAGAGCTGTGTGTGGTATGGCGCCCTGTGTGTGCTATGGTGCCCTGTGCAGGGCGGCGCTCTAAGCCTGAAGTCTAGAAAGGACTCGGGGCATCAGGGGAGCGGATCTTTGCATATGTTTAAATGATGTCAGAGCCAGTATTCTGCTGGATATATTTCTATCTCATCAGAAAGCTTTCAGAGAAACGATTGGTTATGTTTGGTTGGACTCTGATGCCCTGAGTCACGCCTGGAATCTGGAAACCTTTTGATTCTGGGATAATTGCGATGCGTGCGAGCATCAGGAGGCTTCTGTAGGTAAAGTCGGGGGATTTGATGGGCTGCCAGAGCGGAGGTCAGCAGCTGTGTGGTAATAGCGTCTGATGCGTGGTGGGATGGTGCTGTATTATATGGAGACACACACAGAGCGCCGATGGACGCAGCGCTGAATTAGATGAGCTCAGGGTGGACCTTCAGAGTGTAATCTCCATTAAAAGAAAGCAGAGCTGTGTTCCTGTTGGCGTGGGCCACTGAATCAAGCACTGTTTCATCAAGATAATGCCCCCCCCCCCCACCTCTCTCTCTCTGGATGGCGGGGGTCTGAGAGGAAGGAGAGGCTGACAGTGTCCTTGATTGGGTCTGGGTGTTAATGTCATTGTCTTGGCAGTGATTCACATTCTGGCTTATTGCAGATCCTTTCACTTTTTATTACGCAAATACAATCCCACTGTTCTTCACACTCCCCACACATTTTAGCCCCCCCACCCACACACACACACACACACACAGATACTCGTTCTGCCATCCTAGTGAGGGCCATGTGTTGACTCCCATTGACTCCCATTGATTTTCAGTCATTTTAGAACCTTTCTATGCAGTAAAACTAACCATTACCAGCTGACACCTGAACCCAACCATCAGCACAGCAGCAAAATGTCCTCACTTTGCAACAGCTGGTCCTCACTTTGATGGAGAAATTGGAAAAATGGTCCTCACTCTGAGGGCTAGACAGATACACACACACACCCACACATGGAGGGATATTGATGTAAATTAGGAGATTACAGAAGCTTAAACTGGATGTTCGTCACACGGCGCAGAAACCAAGATGCGTTCAATGTCCTGCATCTTTTTACGACTTGATAAAATAATATTTATCAGAAATGAGATTAGGTTTGAAAGCCTTCTACGGTAGAAAAGGAGAAGAAGACGGCAGGTGTGGAGCTGTTTATACAGCTGAAGACTTTTTCCTTTGCTTCTGTTTGTTTCCTTGGTTTCTGTCGCTCAGCATCAACATCACCGACAGGAAAATAACGGTTCACTAATATCAGTTTACCTGCAGAGGTACCAGGTGCCAGTAGATGTGTTCGTTGAAGGGGGGGGGGGGTTGCAACCAATCAGCTGTAGATCTGAATCATGTAGATGAGGAAGAAGCAAAGTGTTTCACTAAGTTATATCATAATCAGGTAAAAATCTTAAATAATGATAAAATCAAACAAAAGTATCTGAGGATTAAATCTTTTTTTTTTTGGGGGGGGGGGGGTAATTTAGTATCTGTGATGAAAATATGCCTTTCAAAATAAAATCTTTGTTGCTTTAGATTTTTTTGTTCTCAATTACAACGGAAATAAACAAAACAACTGTTGATGTATTTCTACTTTATTTTGTTTTTTTATCAGATAAAAATACTTTGATGAACTTTAATTTTAAAGAGGACTGAGGAAGAAACTCTGCTTTTTAAAAACCAAATAGATGATAATCTGTGTTGCTTCCTCAGATTTCTAAACACTCCCAGACCTGAAGATTACAAACATTAATATTTTAATATTTTATTTGCCTCTTAAAATTTTGGCAACAATAAAATAAAGTTAATTAAATCAGATATAAAAAGAAAATGCTGACATGGAGCCTAAGAACAAAACGAACGGAGCCCTGAAATGTGTCTGAAGTGTATTTAGTTGTGTTTTTAACCTTGAAGGTCACCATGGGAGGAGGGGGTGGGGGGGGTTATATCACCCGCCTTCAGCTGGATGCTGGGAGCAGAGACTGAGTCCTGCTGTGGGTCCTGAGCCGGACCGCAGCTATGTTCTCCCTCTGACCGTGACGCCGCTGTTCCACCCGCCTGTGCTCTTATTGACATGTATGACTCCTCTCTGATTTTTCTTTTTGTGTTTATTTGTTTTTAATGTCGGTGACATTCTGGATGGTTTCAATCAATAAGAATGAGTTTTTTTATACTAGGCTCAGTTTATGAGCATAAATGCAGGGAAGCAAACGATAGAAAACCACCTAAATAAACCTTGGTACCAGTTAGAAACCTTAAATAGTGAAAGCTTCCACATTTCCTTTGGTCAGTGAGGTCATACTGATCCACTGGTTCAGGCTTTTCTATTATTCTTTTAATGAACTCTTAACGTGTCCTGAATCACTAGTTGATAGTAAAATGATTCAGTGGGAAAATCAACCAACTTGATTGTAAATGTGAAGAATCCGCTTTTCTGAACTACAGTTCTGAGTTAATGTCTCCACCAGCAGTCTATGGGTAAAATGAAAGGTGAACTCGGTACAGGTAACGCTCCGTCATGCATATATCGGGCAACTTGACCGTCTAACAGGGATGTAGGTGGAAGTCAGAGAGAATCCACTCATGCATGAGAAGAACATGCTAAATGAACAGAACATGCTAAATGAACAGAACATGCTAAATCTGTGCAGAAAGCTTGTAGAATCAAACTCAAAACCTTCTTGCTAAAAGGCAGCAGAGCTCCAAACTTTGCCTCCTTTGTCTGCGTGAAACAGCAGATCTTCCTTTTCCCAGATAACCAGTAGAACCACTAGAGTGGGCAGCTACTTCCAGTCCTTGGGTTAGGGTTAGCATGTAGAGCAGTCTACATGTACGGATTTCCTTTGAGTTACACATAGATACACATACAGATGACTTCAATACTATTGGAAATATGTAATGAGGAATAAAAATGCAGGTTTTGTGCAAAAGTTGCGGGAATAAAAATTAATTGTTACATTTTTTGCAGAGGAAGATCTCCATCACAGACCTAATAAATTTACAATAACAGATAAATAAAGTATTTGTCATTGCTGGGAGATTGATATTGCTTTAGCAGGAAGTTTAGGTGTGGAACCCGGGTTCGATTAGTGAGACTAGCTGCAGAATATTACGTCTCCTTCCAGAGGGAAAGTCTGGAGCAGTTTGAGTTCAGAGTGGGAGGGGCCAATCTGTCCTGGCTTCAATCTTCCCTTTTCTGCAGAGTGACGGACATGTTGCAGCTCCTGACCCTGGTGGTGGTAACAGAGTACCAGATGATGATGGAGGAGGTTAGGCTGGACTCAAAAGCAAAGTCTTGGTCAGGCTGAACTTCCTCAGCTGTGACGCCTTCCTGGTGATGAAGGTGAAGTTCAGATCCATTTGAAGCTCTAAGCGATGATGTTTGCTGGAAAGCTGACGGAGTCCTCAGTGTCACCTGGAGGTGATGGAGATGGGCGGAGCTGCGCTCTCTCTGACGTCGATTTCTTTTTTAACTCCATTTTTTTGCTCCACACTTTTCTGGCTGCATCGAGTCAAGAAAAGATCAATCATTATGCAACTGGATAGGAGGTTTACAATATTAGCAATATTAGCTAAGATAGAAACATCCGATGTAAAAAGAGAAAACTTCCCTCCTATCAGATCTGATTGTCTGCTGAAACTGTCCAATCTGAACTTTCTGCTCTTTTCTCTTAAGGAGGAAAAGATTCTCTGGGCTGCAGCGCGCCTCATGCTGCACGTCGCTGCAGGCCTGCAGGGACGACCCCCCCACAACAAAAATAATGCACGAATCAAAAATTAGGAAAGTTTAGAAAATAAACTTTATTGTATCAGTTTTTGGCTCAAAGATGAGGCTGAATTTATACATTAAACACGATAAACATTTTAGCTTTATAATGTTGAATTTCACCTGATGTGCTTTGATGCTTTCCCTTCATACCTTTATTTTATCACTATGAAACATTTTAAAAACATCCCCAGTTTGATACTTTGCCATTTTGAACAAGCATCTGCGACGAAACGCCACCGAGCCAGATTTAGACTTTTTGGTTTGATGCTGGAAAATAAGCTGTTAGATCATGTGATGTTTGAAAGTCAGCAGGTTTGCTGCTGTTTGCTGCTTATTCAGGTGAAACGATCTTAAATGGACGAGCATGTAAAAACTGCTTTCTAATCTTTTTGTTCTAAGTAGCTCTCATCTTCATTCAGTCACTCAGACACAGATATTGGAGGCGAGTCTCTGCAAGGTGACAGCATTAATAACCAGCCCTACACATTCAAACAACTTGCTTCACAATGAAAAATAAGCAGCTTTTCTTTTGCCTGAATATCATTAAGAGGGAAGATGAACCTCAGAGACAAACGTTTTTGTAAAATAAGGGATTAATATGTCAAAGCGTTTTTCTTATCTCTCTGAGACAAATAATAAAATCATAAACTTCTCTTTTTACTCTACAGCCTTAAAATTAACCTGATTTAGACAAATAATCGATACAGCTGGAGTTTATAATTAACTTTTAATTAAATAGTTTAATTAAATCGTTTTTAACTCCAATCTTTAGAATAAAACAAATCATGTTGACTTTTAATTTTAACCTTATTTTTTCTGTATAAATGTCGTTAGTGTAACCGTATTATAATAAAGCAAACATGCGCAGACGCTTCCAGTCCAATCAGTGAAGGCCAGAGGTTCGACTCTCTGACCACTGAACCGTTTACCTCCATCACATGACTGCTGGCCACCTGAATTATACGTTCGTTCAATTTAAACCTGGAAAATAAGCTGCTGTTATTGGTCAGAAAGTGGAATGTGTGACAACATCTCTTTAGCAGAAATTAGTATTATTTGACGTTAAACATTAAACACTTTAAGTTGGTTTCCAACCATTTCACAATAAAAATGTTAGCAGA